AAAAGTTTTGGCTTGACTCTTGAATTAAAAGTTTCCAGTGGAGTCGCTAAGCTGTCATAACGGTTTTGAGACCCGCTAGATGTAAAGGAATTTTAAAGTCAAAATAAATGGGGGAGTCACCACCAATCTTTATTAGGGTGTGATTGGCCACCCAAAAGTTTATCTTTTTTAATAAAATTATAAAAGCAAGTTTAAAGTTTATCAAAAAGATAAATTTTGATCTACGAAAATCTAGGTTGGGATCCGAGAGTCGGTTACGTATGGGGAAGGATTAGCACCCCCGTAATGCCCATAAATTGGTACCATTTAACTACACGTTATTTTCGGTGTTGGATAAAAATGGTTTCAATTTAAATTTTAACATTAATTCCTTTCAATTGAAAAAATAAAATTTTGTTAAAGCTCTTTGTTTAGGAATATTGAAAAAATCTTAAAGTTAAAGAATTATTTTAAAATTCTCCAATATCTAGACAGAATTTAAAATAACTCTTTTCGCTTAAGATTTAACACGATAATCTTTAAAATGAAATAACAATCTTTATAGAAAATAATTATTACTGACTCTCCAACATCTAGGCAAAATTCCAAGAATTATTTCCTTCATAATGTTATTTTTTTTGTTTTATTTCATAATATCACAAAAAAATTTTTAAAAGTATTATTCTTTTTTATTATAAAATATTTTATCATCAAATAGTAAATAAAAATTAAAGATAGGATAATACAAATAATTACTAATAATAACATGCTAACGTATGTATGCCAATGAATGTTATGTAACATGAAATACAATTTTAAAGTTAGATTCTTAAGTATAATAAGACCACATCGACTCTTCAATATCTAGGTATAGATTAAGTGCGACTATTTATATTTAAGATCTCAATTTACTGTTATACTCCATTATTTATTAAAGTTATTATTAATGGGAATTAAGAACTCGTATGAAAAACTTAATGAAATAAAGTTTCCTTAATACCCTATCATTTAGGTAGCATTTGGGAATAAATCATTTCAAATGAGATTCTCACATGTGTCCTTAGAATTTTCAGAATGTTTTGGGTAGGGGCTTGAGTAGAGGTTTTAAGGTTAGGGTTTCAAGATTTTGAAGACTTGGATTTTAGGGTTTTTGTTTGAGTTTTGAGGGTTTTATGGTTTGATTTTAAGGTTCAAAGGGTCTTAAGGCTTGAATTTTAGGTATGGAAGGTTTAAGGTTTAGATTTTAGAGTTTGGAGATTTTAGGATTTTGGACTTTAAGGGTTTGGATTTAAAGGATTATGCATTTTAGGGGTTTTAGAAACCTAGGGTTTGAAATTTAAGAATTAGTGTTTAAGGTTTCGTTTTTTTTTTTTAAGAAAATATGAATATCTCTAAAAATCTCCAACATCTAGGTGAATTTTCGGAGCAAGTTCGATTTTAGTAATTTTTGAAAAGTTAATTAAAAAATTCTCATATATATTTTTTTATGAAAATTTATTAACAATAATTCTCCAACATCTAGACGAAATTATTTTTAGGATTACATTTTTATTCCCTCCAACATCTAGGCAGGAAAAATAATAAAAAAATAATTATTATTATTACCTTTTTTTTAGCATTTTTAATATATGTTTTTAATTATTATCTTACTTATTTTTATTTTTATTATTATTAAAACAATTAAAAATTTATCCTAACAAATTTAAGAACTTATCATATATAAATATATATATAAAATTAAAATAACAAAAATAATAATATATAAAAAATTCAAAAATTCAAAAAAAAATTTTTTTTACCTGAATCGGATCGGTCAACGACGGTTCGGTTGGATCGAAAAGGGAAAAAGGATCAGTTCGACGTGCGGTTTGGTTGAGCAGGCTGATGAGCGGTTCTGGTGGCCAAGCAGTTCAAACCAATTCGATCGATTTACTAGTGGTTTGTCCGAACCGATTGGAGGGTGGCTGAGGCAGGTTGGGGGGTTAGTTTGTGCGAATCTCGGGTCAGGTTCGGTCTATGCGTGATCCTCTTATGCTTGAAACGACGTCGTTTTGGTCTTATGCTCAAAACAGCGTTGTTTTTGTCTTATGTCTTCTATAAAAGTAAGTTTTTTTTTTCAGTTCATTCTTTTTTGTTTCAGAAAAAAAAAAGAGAGAGAGTTTTGGGGGAGAGCTTCGAGGCTCTCGCCGTCCAATCCTCAGACCGTCGCGTCAGCCGCCTCCTGGGTCACCGTCGACGGTGGTCACCGGTGATCGAAAAAAAAAATTTTTTTGACCAAAAGGTTTTGTTCAACCTCCTGAGCTCAGATCTGGTACCCTTTTCATCGAAAATAGCCTCGATTCTCGTAGATCGAGTTTGGAAGTTTTTGACCCCTTCTTTTTTTTTCTTAAAGACTCAAACTAATGATCTCTCTTTTTTGTTGCAAGTATCTCATTGGTATTGGGTTCCTCGTCGATTCGGTGAGGACTGTGATTTTGTTTTTATGTTTTTTTCGTGTTGATTTTTTGGCTTTCTGTTTCGACATTGGGGGGTTTGTTTGCATTTTTTTAGTTTCTGTTTGAGTGGTTGTTTTTTGTTCTAGGGAGAGAAATTAAGGGGAAAAGCTGGAGGGTTTTAAAGATGGGGATTTGGGTGGCTATAGGTGGGCTGGGGTAGGTTGTAGAGGTGGCTGGACAGGGGTTGGTCGGGGGCTGAAAGGTTTGATGGGACTGGGTAGGGTGGCTGTCGAGCAGAGGGCTGGACAGGGGGCGACGACGTCGTCGTACCAGCCCTCTGTTTTCTGTCCTTCTTCTCCCTTTGTTTGTTTGTTTTTTGTTTGTTTTAATTAATATTTTAATAATTTTGATTTTTAATTCTTAATTTTTTTAATTTTTAATTAAATTAATATTATTATTAATATTATTATCAAAATTATTATTGATAATAAAAAATTTTGAAAATAAAATAAAATAAAATAAAAAAAGGTAGACCCGGACAAAATCAATGTCCACAGCTCATATACTTAAACTTACCATAAAATATTTCATTATATTTAAAATTATTAAAAATTAAATTTCGATAATTAAAATTAAAAATTAAACACTTTATTAATAGACTATATGATTAATGGCAATTTACTATTAAATATCTAATCCTACTAATGTACCAAAATCTGTTCTATTTTTAGTTGGAGAAATGATAGTCCACTTTTAAATATACTTTTGCATGTTATGAGAACCATAAGTGCTTATATATTAGAGAACATAGCACTACATGTAAAAAACGTGTAAAAGTTACGGGACAGGTCTAAGGAGTAAGGACTAATGAAAAATTGTATGTGTATCTCCAATTTATTGTTTTTGAAAGCCCCCATCCTCAATCAGTTGCATCAAAGTCTACACATATATTATCATGTTTTGAAATAAATTTGTTGTTAAAATAGACATTAGAACCAGTTGATAAAAAAATTAAAGCATTCATAGTTTATTCCATTTAGAAAATCAAGTGTTAGGTGAGACAATTGGAAATGGGCTGTACTTTATTATTATTATTATTTGCTTAAATAAATGGTAGAAGAATGAAAAACACTTAATTATTAGGATCAAATATTCATGAAAATATATAAAAATCTAAATAAAAAACTGTTAGTCAATCATTCTATTGAAATATTTTTCATGATACAGATAAATTTAAGGGAAAGACAAGTATTGTTTTTTATTGACAAACGAACAACCAATCTAACATTAATTAAAATTTTCAGGAATATCAATTCATTCATTCCCTAAACTAGGGATTTTTTTACCTCTCTTGCATCAAAAAAGAAAAATGAGTTATGGACTTCCTCTTCCTCTCTACAAGGCTAGGCTAGGTGAGGGAAATCACTGAATGGGTTTGCATTACAAAGTTAATATAGTGGATGTGGTCCCTTAACATTTTCAAATATAATTGAATTATAATTGAGATTCAAATTCAAAATTTTTAATTTTAAAATCTCTCAATTGACAGTTTATCAATCACTGCTATATATAATACATATTTAATTGTAAGTCTTCCCTTGTGTTGTATGTTTGTTGATTATTCTCATAAAAACTTCCATTTCTCTCCTTTCTTTTTGCAAATCACAATGTAGCAACTCCTATTCATTGGCTAGAGCCAATAACTAAAAGAGATTTAATTTGAGTACAAGTTTTTCCTTTTTTTTTTAATTTTTATTTTTTCAGACAAAACCCTTCTCTCAAAAGGATTTTTTTTTTTTTTAATTTGGTTTCCTATTTCCTTCCTTCCAAAAAGTGGGAAAGGGAATAGAATATTATTGCATTCGGATATGCCTTGTTCTTTAGAGATAAACATAATAATTTAAAATATGATATGATGATATAATACGAAAATAATATAAAAAAATACATAAATATAACATGATTTAAAATTTTTAAAAAATCATAAATAAATTTAATAAAACTAAAAAATTATATTTTATATTTTTGTATCAACATAAATTATGCACATAATTTTTTTATATAAAATATGACACAAATAAAATATTTTACATAAAAAACTGCCTTAAAAATATAATTGTGGATAGCCATTTTTTTTTCTTGAGCTAACGCGGTTTTATTATTCTCTATTTGTATAAAGCAAAAAGTATCTTATGTAAATAAAATTTCAAAATAAATTTATAGAATTAAAATTGATTATTAATTATAAGCCTTTCATTCATTATACTTTTTTTTAATGCGGTCAGAATTGCTTACAATCTTAAAGCTTTAAATCTTACAACTTCTAAAATATATTTCTAATATAAACTTCATAATTTCTACCGATGGATTAATCATGACATGATGATTCTCATTTCCATTAAAAGCCCAAATAATTATGAAATCAGCATAAAAATTAACTTATCTAAAACTGTGTTTAACCTTGTAATTTCGATCTCTAAAAAAAAAAAAAAAACTGATATTGATGAATAATATTATATAAAAAGTCCCTCTCCTATGGGCCCAAAAAAAAAAAAAAAAACACCCTCTCCTGCAAAAGACCAGCAACCTTTTTCATTGGAATCATTACTTAATTATCAAAACTGAAGATTATAACGGTTTCTCTCTTTTAGCAATCATTTTTTTTTTTATTTCACCTTGGATTAGTTGGTTTTAGCAATCATTACTTAATTGATGCAGTCACGTAGAAAACTACTTACTATAAAGTTTTCTAGATTCATGTATAGAAAGAAACATGCATACATATTAAGCACATACTTAATAGCTAAATTGACATCTGACCTCCACCTATATAATTTAATTTCTAAGTAGAAAATCAACCCCTTGTCTCTTCCTTGGCGAAATGTGGGCCCTCAATAGATTCTTCAGCACAACCGTGTACTCTAGCTTCTCCTCCAAGCTGATCTCATCTCCATCCATAGCCTTCCATTCAAATTTCCAAATCAAATTTGCCACAAAATACTCCAGATGAAGAAGGGCTAAGCCAAGTCCAGGACAAATTCTTCTCCCAACTCCAAAAGGCATCATCTTAATCTCCCTACTCCCTGTTATGTCAAACGCTTCACCACTACTATCATCACTTCCCAAGAACCTCTCAGGCTTAAATGCCATTGGATCCTCCCACACCTTTGGATCCCATCCCATTTCTGCCACCATGAAATTGATAGTTCCATTCTTGGGGACCAAAAATTCTCCCAGGACTGCGTCTTCTGTCACACTATGAGGCACCACAAAGTGCCCTGGTGGGTGCCTTCTTAGCCCTTCCAAAATCACTGCTTTCAAATAAGGCATCTTTGGCAAATCATCTTCTTTGACTTTTTCCTCTTCATCTCCCACAACCCCTTTAATTTCAAGCAATAATTTATCCTGAATATATGGGTATTTCACCAAATTTGCCATAATCCATTGCAAAGCGGTGGAGGTGGTATCAGTGCCACCATTAAGAAACTCAGAGGCCAAACTAACGATTTCTCCTTCATCAAGTTTCCTTTTCTCCTCTGGTAACTCCAAATCCAACAAAGTATCAACATATGCCAAAACATAATCATCACTGTCCTTGCTTAGTTTCTCCTCTTTAGCTTTCTTTCTTGCTCTTATCAAAGGAATCAGCACATCTTCTTGATTCTTACGTAGTTGAAAAAGCTGCCTCCATTGCTTACGAAGCAAAACCTTGGTCACTCTAGGCCAAAAGTTAAGTATATTGAATCTTCCAAAACCTAACAGCTCCCTTCGCATAACAGCTTCAATTTCTTTGATTTTCTCTTGAGAAAGCTTATCACCAAAACACATCAAAAGTAGCAAACAAAAAATAGCATATTGAAAATGAGCCAAAACCTGAACCGATTCTCCAGTTTTAGCCTTTGACTCTAAATTATCAAGAAGAATTTCCAAAACCCATTTACGTGCATGAGAATAGGACTTTATACGTGAAGGATGGAGGATTTCTGAAGTCAGATTCCGCCGCAAAAGCCGCCAGGTTGGGCCATAGGGGGCAGAGCTGATGTTATGTTGGTTGCTAGACATGATCTTATTAGTAGCAAAAGCTTCGGGCCGGTCTGAAAATAGTGAACCGCTTTGGACTAAAGCCCGATGAGCAAGGGAACGATCGGAGACAAAGATGCTGGGACGAGGACCAATGTATAGAGTGACCATGGGACCAAGCTTTGTATGGAGGCTGCGGAGGATTGGTTCGATTTCGAAGAAAGATTTTCGGAGCCATAAGATGTTGCCAATGATAGGGAATGTGTAAGGGCCTGGAGGGAGATTATGGGGAAGCGTTTTGGAAGGGTAGAAGAGATTGAGAAAGGCTTTGAGAAGAAGAGAGATGGAAATTGTGAGGAGGATGAGGAACCATGTTTCCATTGTTTGGATAAGTGGAGATGGAGTGACAAAAGAGAAAATTGGCTTTGAGTTTATCGGGTGTGTTTTGTCTTTTTCTGTGTAGCTGATTGTCCATCGCTTTAAAGGAATATCCGATTGTTGTCCTGTTTTGAATTCTGTTGGCTATTGTTTTTTTTTTTTTTTTTTTGAGGATAAATGTACATTTAGCCCTTTTATTATATATTTTATATAGTTTGATATTTAAAAAAAATAAAATTTTTAGTTTGATATTTTAATTTTTATTTCATTATTTATTTTATTACTTCACACTAATGTCATTAACTCATCAATCAATGTAAAAAAATGATATGAATATTTAATAAAATATAATTATTTATCAAAAAATGTCTAATAAACCCTACATCATCAATTATCATGTTAACATTAAAAAAATTTAAACATATTTTCCAAAATTTTTTAAAAAAATGAATTATTTAAAGAAATTATATAAAATTAAATAAACTAAAATATTTTAAAAATATAAAAACTTGAAATTTATGAATAATTAAAATTTTTATAAAATATATCAAATTTTTAATAAATAATTCAATGAAATTCAAAAAATTTTGAAAAATTCAAAAAACTAAAAATTCTAAATTTTTTAAAAAAATATAAAAATTTCTAAAAATTTTTCAAAAAAATATGAAACAATTTAAAGAATAAAAATATTAAAATATTTATGAAGAATTAAAAAAACCTAAAAATTTTGAAACAAACTACAAAAATTTTGAAAAATTAAAAGATAAAAAACTGAACAATTTAATAGAAAATCAAAGAAAAATAAAAAAATTTCTAAGAAATTCAACAAAAATATAAAAATCAAAATTTTAATTAAAATAATAATATCTTTAGTTTTAATTAGTTTTTTAATTATTTTTATTAAAAATTCATTTTTATATATTTATTGAAATTTTTTAAAAAAATATTTTGAATTTTATAGGATTTTTATTATGTTACTTAGATTTTTTATATTTCAAAAAATTTTTAAAATTTTTAAAAGTTTCAAATTTTTGAAAATTTGAAATTGTTAGAAATTTTGAAATATTTATAATTATTGAAAAACTTTCAGATTTTTTTTTAAATTTAGTTTTTTTTAATTTCATTTTTTAAGTTTTTGTCAAATTTTTTGAATTTTAAGAAAAATTTTTATTAAAATTTTCATTTTTTGGTTTTTATAGAATTTTTATTTTTTTTATTAAAATTTTGAGATTTTTTTTAATATTTTAAAAATATTTTATATTTTTTTATAGTTTTTAAAAAATATTTTGGACTTTTAAAATTTTTTTAAAAAAAGTTCTTGAATTTTTCAATACTTTTTAAATATTAATACGACGATTGATAATATAATACTGGTTGGACTTTTTAACATGTGTCAATATCTTATTAGATTTTTATGTTATGTTAGAAAGTTGATTAATGGTATCAATTTGATATTCCAAAGTAAAGATAAAATGAGAGTTAAAGTACAAAATTGACAATTTTTTTTTTTAAACGTCAAATTAATAAAAAGTATATAGTACAAACGTAAATGAGTATTTACCTTTTTAAATTTTGAATTCATTTAATAGAGTGATGCATCTTTTTTTTTGGTAGGTTGAGGTTAATTTTTTTATTTGGCACAACTAATTATAGGTTGATATTAGTTGGATTATTGCTCAATTTCTTTTTTTTTTTTTGTTGCCACCTGTAGTGGTCGCAAACAGGCTTATTCGGATGGGTTTGGATTAAGTTATCTTTAGTTCAAATCTTTTGAATTAGGATTTATTTGAGGTTTGGATAGTTTCAAATATAGATTTTTTTGGATTTAAATTTTTTTATATTTAAAAAATTTTGAATTTGAATAATTTCAAGCTTGGATTATCTTGAGTACAAACTAATTTAAATTCGAATTATTTCATATTTGGTTTGATTCGAGTTAAACAGGTTTACCGTTCAAGTGAGTTTTAAAAGAATTTTTAAATTTTATAAGTTATAAACATATTTTTGTAATTTTGAATTAAAGCTTAATTTTATTTTTTATATAAATAAAAATATTATGTTAAAATTTTAAATATAATATAATTATATAAATATATATATTATATTAATTTTGTCTTTAAATATTATTCATTATTTTTTAATCATCATACAAATTCAAATAAAAACTAAAATATTCAAAATTCACATAGGTGAATAATGGATATTATTTAAAAGAATATTATTTTGACATTAACATTTACGTAAATATAATAATATTAGATATATACCAATTGATCAAATGTTCAATTAGGATATTGAATAGTAGATATATTAAATTAATTAATATATTGCTAATAACCTAAAGTCAATAAATGTAAATGCCCTTTTTTTTATACCAACTAGATTTGTTTCATTCATTTCCCATGCAATCCAAGTTACATAAAAAGGTAAGGAATTTCTCCATACCCTATGATCACTTGAGGAAAGTGCTTCCCCAGCCAGCTCATGAGCTATTTTATTAGCTAATCTTCTAATAAACTTAAAAAATCAAAACTGAAAGCTATTCGTTAATGACTTGATGTCTTATATCACATTTCCACCTGCAAAACAAGGACTACTATCACCAACTATTTCTCTTTCCCCTCGACATTCTATATTCCTTGGTTGATAGCCAATTGCATGCCCCATCTTATTGCTATCACCTCTGCACATAAGGCCACAATATCCTTTTCTCCACCATAGCATGCTGACAAAAGAACATTACCTTTTGAATCCCTAATCACAGCTCTCAGTCCTACTTCTCTGGCTTGCGTTTTTAGTGATGCATCTACATTCAGCTTAACCCTGCCATTCTCAGGTGTTCTCCATGTTTCCTGCTGAGATATTTGTTGAATGGGTGAGCTTTGATTATCCCTTGGTGATCCTTCTGTTAGCAGACTCTTGCCCCTTCGCAACAGGTTTGCTGGTTTATGCACTTCATCTGTTGAAGACATTCATTCATGTTTTTCCATAACAACCATGTAGTGATCATCCTCTCCTCTCTATCCTTTACCTGGCTTGAGAGAATCGGTAGGTCTTGCTAGAATTGTCTCCCATCTCCATGAAAAGTCAGGGTACCCACATCATGTTGTACCAATGCCCAAACTGGCTGACTATAGTGATTTTCAATAAGAGTATAATACCTGATTCCTGTGCTTTCCCGCAAACTGGAGAGTTAACTTCTACCGTCATACCTTTCCTTTGCAACACTTCCTTTGTTGGCAGAAAACCATGCAAAAGCTCCCAAAAGAACAGCCTCACTTTTGGTAAGACATGTGCCGTCCGCACCAAGTTCCATATAGGATGTCTTTGGTTCCTATTTGGTCCCTCTCTTCCAAGTTCCCCTCTAGCTCTAAAGTAAGCGCTTTTTAATGTGAAGTCTCTCAACTGAGAATTCAACCATGTTGACGTATCCCTCGTGCTATGTTTGCTCAGTGGTATACACCCAATTCTTTTTACATCCTCTGGAGAGAACAAATCATTGAACATTTCCATTTTTCACTGTTTGGTGTCCTGGAAAATGAGATCTGCCAGCTTCAATGGTGTAGGCTATTGATCCATAGGATGATTCACCATATAGCTTGGCCACTTATCCACCCACTTTTCTCTCCAAACCTCCATTGAGTGCCATCCCCTATCCTCCAACGTGATTCGTTCTTTAGAACATTTCTTCCACCAAAGGCTTCTCCATAGATAAGATGGAGACTCCCCTTGACTAGCATGTAAGAAGGAGATTTTTGGGACCGAAGTATCTTGCCTTCAATACCTATGGCATAAGGAGTCCTGGTTGTGGATTAAATGCCACCTTTGTTTGGCCAACAAGGCCAAGTTAAATGCTTCAAGGTCTCCAAAACCAAGTCCCTTATCCATCTTGGAGCATGATAACACCTCCTATCTACACCAAAGAATCTTTCGTTTATCTGCCATATCCCCGCACCAGAAACTTGCTATTAGAGAAGTGAATTTGTTGATGACACCTTTAGGTAGCTTAAACATGGACACGATGTATGTTGGGATGGCTTGGGCCATAGATTGGACAAGCACCGCCGTTCCTGCCTAGTACAGCAGCTTACCTCACCACCCTTGCACCTTAGCCCACAACCTATTAAGAATGGGGCGACACACCAGTAGCTTATCCCTGCCAAAAGCCATAGGGAATCCCAGGTACAGTCCATTTTTCATAAGTTGATTTATTCCCAAGCGGTCCATGAGCATTCCTCTAAGTTCTAACCCCACATTTGAGCTGAAACTACTGCTGATTTACTGATATTCACTTTCTGGCCAGAGGCAGCTTCATACTCCCTCAATATCATCAACAAAGTTTGCCCTTCATGCTCGCTTGCTCCTACAAAGAATATGCTGTCATCTGCAAACAGGAGATGCAAAACCCTTTGAGCTTCCTTTGAACCTCACCCCCTCGAATCCTCCTATCTATTTCAGTTTTGAAAAGGTGCCTTGACAAACCTTTAACACAAATGATGAACAAATAAGGTGACAATGGATCACCCAGTCTTAGGCCTCTAGAGGGAATAATCTTACCACATTGCTGGCCATTTATCATAACCGAATATGAAACCGTACGTGCACGTCATCGCCATAGAGATCCATCTTTTAGAAAAACCCAACCTCCTCATTATCACCTCAAGGTAATGCCAATCCACCCAATTATAAGCCTTACTCATATCTACTTTAATAGCCATCTGACCACCTCTTTCCTTACACCTATTGCTCATAGACTGGAGAGTTTCAATGGCAACCATGGCATTATCAAATAATGACCTTCTGACCATAAACAAGCTTTGAGTGTCACTCATGATTTTGGGTAGTATTTTTTTCATCCTATTAGCCAGTTTGTAAAGGACATTGCATAAGCTTATGGGTCGATAGTCACTAGAAAAGCAGGGAGACTTATATTTAGGAATCAACACCAGGTTAGTTTGATTTATCCCTTGGATTGCTAGGTCCCCGTTGAGGCACGTTAAAATAATACATGCTACGTCCTTGCCAACAATATGCCAATACCTCTAAAAGAGCAGGCATTCATCCCATCCGGACCTGGGGTTTTCCCTAGGTTCATTTGGTCAAAAGCCTCTTTT